ACTTTGTACTAAAGTCGATTGCTTGGGTACCTCTGTCCCATTCGTGTTTCAACTGTGAAGCAGCTGTGTTTGCATGTCTGTGTTTAGGTTTGAAGGGTGGGATATGGCGTGAATTTACTGGGTACAGAGGAATAACACCTGAATCCTCAAGAATGGCAACGCATGGGGGGCAACATGGGCGAAACAGTATACTCTGTTATGTCCATGGTACTGCTCATGTCTATAGGCGACGGTTACCACTTTCCATCAGGTGGGCCGTCAGCTTGTTTGCCATTCTAAGTTGTATAAAAAAAAGCATTATAAAGGTAAAAATTATAAGACAAAATAAATGTAGAAGTTATAAAGGAATCACTTATATTTATCACGCAAAACCACCAAAGCCTAATTGTGGTTGCCAATCCGCTTGCCAAATGTGACAACTATTAACATAATGTACAGTTATTACTCAGTATATGGGAGAAATTATATTGCAAGTGTGCACGACGCACCTTTTTAGTTTCTTTTTAAATTTTATTAAAAAGATGTTCTTTTTATAATTTGAAAAAAATATTTTTTATATAATTATATTATCTTTCTAAAACACCGTGTTTCCATACCAGCATACAGTCCTTTCGCCCACAGCAAGGTTAAATGGAAATTTAAAAAAAATACACAATTTTTACTAAAATATTAATGGAACAAGAAAAACGATACGTAATCATTCGTAATTATTTTTATAATTATTAATTACTTTGATTTATATTTAATTATTAATTTACAAAGTTTACTATAAGTTAGTAGTGTCGTTCTTTTAAAATGATTAAAAATGGCAGCTATTTTAATTAATACATGTCCATTAATTTGTATGCAATACGTACATGTGTATATTTATAAAAAATAATTCCTAATTTAAATTAAAAAAAATCGAAAAATCAGGGAAATCTTCAAACCAATTACTTATAACATTGAAATAATGAGGCGTTATATTTTATTTAGAAACAAATATGTGTCAAAATTTAGTAAGGCAAATATCAAATTAGCTGACTAAATATTGCCTTGTACACTTCGTTCTCTAAGTATATAATTTAAGTAAGGAAGGTACATGTATTTTACAGAGTATCATATACGTAATTGGATGATATTTTTGCTTAGTAATTTACATATAAATAGCTTTTAATATGTAACTAATTATTGAGCCTGTATACTTCAAATGAATTCACCCTAGCAATTCCCGGTATAAAAGGTCCGTGTTGACAAGAAAGCAATTATTTCACAAACAGTCTCATTGAATTATTTCCATGGTGTGGTTTTATAAATAAATAACACTGTAAAATTATAATTACGGAAGACTAAATATCTCTTATAAAGGTTACCAAAATTTTACAGGAAATGTAACCGATAAGCAGTGGAATAATACAGAGGAATAATACCTGAGTCCTCAGAAAAGGTAATGCATGAGGGGTATCATGGGCGAAACAGTATACTCTGTTATGCCAATGGTACTGCTCATGTCTATAGGTGATGGTTACCACTTTCCATCAGTTTCGCCGTCAGCTTGTTTGCTATTCTAAGTTGTATAAAAAAAAGTAGTCTAAAGAATCTACAAAGTGAATGTAATGAAATAATGTTTTTCTCAAAATACTGAAATATAAAATATCCTAAATGTTGAGGCTTGTGCCTAAGAATACTAACTTTTACCGCTGATTTTGTCCGTGTGATCAGGATATGTCGATTGACCTAGCTAAATATTATTTAGTAGATAAATAGATTTGTGTTCGAATTTTTCAAAATTAATGTCATCAACGAAATATGATACGATTACGAATGATAATTTGAAATCAAATCATATTAAAACTTCTGGTAATACTATAAAAACTTTGCTTCAGAAATCGAAGACGTAAATTAATTTTCTTTTACTTTTAAGCATTTTTAAATTAAGAATCGGGTCGCGTACTTATTAGCGATTCTGTGAGTAAGACGTAGTAGTAAAATTACAGGTTAGCATAATATTTCAGTCACCAAGAATGGCAATGCAAGATGGATACCATGGATGTCATAATAAATTTTGTGATGTCTATTATGCTGTTACAGATGTGAACCATAGATAAACCATCATCTTCTTGTAAAAAAATCTCTGTTTACTTTAAATTACCTATTAACCTTTGTCCGTGGAATTGCAAATTAAATACTCCGGCAGTTTGTAATCACACGACTTCCCAAATCGATTATATAATTATAAAGTAGGCCTCATTTATATCTGTAACAAACTAATGACCCAGAATATTACTGTGAGTTAAATCATTAATTGGGAACATTCAAATCACAATTCGACAGTAGCCACGAATATTTACTAACAGGTAATATTAAAAAAAAAAATACTACAGGCACAGAAAATTCAAAATTTATTACAGTATATAGTACTATAAAACTAAAAAATAAAAGTAATTGATTTTATTGTCAATTCTTAATATACTGATGTAAAAATTATTACTCTAAGTAACATTTTTTTTATATAACTTAGAATGGCAAACAAGCTGACGGCCCACCTGATAGAAAGTGGTAACCGTCGCCTATAGACATGAGCAGTACCATGGACATAACAGAGTATACTGTTTCGCCCATGACATCCCCCATGCGTTGCCATTCCTGAGGACTCAGGTGTTATTCCTCTGTACCCAGTAAATTCACGTCATATCCCACCCCTCAAACCGAAACACAACGATGCAAACACAACTGTTTCACGGTTGAAACATAGAAAAGCAGATAGATAAGTTAGGAGATGTTGGTGTAATCGTGGAATTATTTTATTTTATTTTATTACATATATTAGGGAACCAAACCGTATAATTGTCATAAAAATAATATAAAGTAAATATTTAGTAACTGTTTATTACAGTCTAACAGGAGTACTTTATTTAAATCTCTAGTAAGGGCCTATTTACTTACCCTACGTACCTTACATATACATTAAGCTGTTTATGAAATTGAATGAAGCAAGATTGTGTGTAAAAATCGTAGACCTAATATAACATACGTATTAAGGGACATATAGGGACTAGTGTAAAGTAATATAAGTAAGGTTATGTATCTCTCATTAAAATTCTACAATACATAATTTTTATTTGAAACACTTACATGAAACGACATTAATCCATTGATCAAACAAACTTACCAAGTGATGTTCAATTTTAATTATTTTCTCTTCAACGAAGAGATTTAGGTAAAAACAGAGATTTTTCTTGAATTATATTAACTCTTTTTATAAGCAAAATACACAGGAGTTATTAATGAAACATTGACAGTAGTGTAAAAATAATAAAATTACTTTACTGAACTGGGTATTATCTTATGGAAGTCCATGTAACTGATTATTCCGTGACAATTATTTTGTTTAATTCCGCTACCATTATTATGCGTGTGTTGATTCGAAGATTGATTACTATTATTACTAATAGATATTTTATAACCTTCCATTTTAGGCAGGTGGAGATAAATGAATAATATGGAAGATTATGGAACGTCTGGTAGTAATAGTGGTGATCAATCTTCGAGTGTTGGCAGTCACATACATCCTAATGGTAGCGGAATTAAACAAAATAATTCTAATTAAATTACTAGTAAAATATTACTTATAAAATGTCTTGAAATTAGAAAATTGTACTAAACAAATTTTAATATTCGTTTGTAATCTATTTATGTTCATTGAGGTTATGCAGAATAATATGGAATTATGAACGTCAAATCCAGAACTACGAGGTCTTGAACTTGTGGTCCAATCCAATCACTAGAGAAATTCATTTGCATCGGTAGCATTTTGAGCGGAGCGTGAGAGATTAGTGCAATTCTGACCGGCAGGTGTTTGAAACGTCACTAATTAACGTATAATTGAAACGTGACACAGTAATGAGAGCGTAATGCTTTTACTAAAAGAAACTATGACAATATTTTTCGTCAATAAACCTCATTTTTAAATGAGATGGAATGGGCTTATTATAAACTTGAAAGGCTTGTTGCATATATCTCTGACGTTTGTCTCTAATTAGGATAGGCAGAATCAATGGAACCCTAAATGCTTCGATTCAAACAAACCTGTTTCGCTTCCTCCACATTCATAAATTTTTTTATAAATGCTCACCGGTTTGAGTTCTTTTAATTTGACCCTTCTTCAGCACGGCGCCTATTTGGTCATCATACGTCTATCTAAGGCGTCTCCTACCGATTACTCTATTCATTTTTGCTCGATAAATCTCTTTCGTAATTCTTCTTTCATCCATCCTCACTAAATCTTGTACATCTATGATTTTAGTATCGATCTGCAAAACAGTTCAATTTAATGTATAGAACTATCTTTCAGATTTTAAACACTCTTAAAGGTTCGCAGGTACTATGTTTAATTTAAAGTTCTTAATAAGCCATGGGGTTGATGGCTATACAGATATTAACAGCACCATGGGTATCACAATTGTATTGCCAAGCTTGGCAACTACTGGTTAAAACCTCCCCTATGGGAGAGGCGTATGTTGAGCAATGAACAGTTAATGGCTGATACGATATGATACGATATTATTTATATATAGAAACTTTATATATAGCTTTTAGCTATTACGTATATACCAAATTTCATAGTGATTAATTAAGTCGTGAAGGTACTGAACAATCAAACTCTCGTTTACTATCTTATTTGCAAAATCAGTAAGGGTTTATGAATGTTTATAATGTATTTATGTTTGAATAAATAAATATTTTATTTATTTATACATTCAGATTAGATGTGTATATTTATGTACTGTTCGCCTACAAATTTAATTAATTCTTTAATTATTCAACTTACTTTATTTTATACCTTTTAAAAATGTATATAAAAGAATTTTTTTACAGGGAGAAAATGCAAAATGCCCGATGCTATCGAGTACATCTATGTATCGTACAATTTTGAAATAAAGATTTAACAGAAAACAAGAGAGTGAGAGAGAAAATATGATTTAAACAAATAAAATAATATAAATAATAATAAATTGCAGGCCGTGGTAGAAGAAAGAAGTTGGCCATCGTGGTCCCGCTTCTCACTCTTCTAGCAGCGCTCAAGGCGAAGTTGCTACTCATACCGATTCTTCTGTCAGTATTCTTCATAAAGAAGCTGTTGCTGGTCGCAGCACTGTTGGTGCCGAGTTTGTTGAATACTCTGAAAGCTTGTAAGGTACGAATGTATATTTTATTTAAATTCTTTTAAACGACTTTCAGAAGGAAGACATTCGATTCTTCATTATTTTATGTATGTAAGTTACACGATATATACATTTTTACAACTTAGAATGGCAAACAAGCTGACGGCCTAACTAACAGAAAGTAGTATCGCCTATAGACATGAGCCGTACCATGGACATAACAGAGTATACTGTTTCACACATGATACCCTCCATGCGTTACCATTCCTTAGGACTCAGGTGTTATTCCTCTGTACCCAGTAAATTCACGCCATATCCTATCCTTCAAACCGAAACACAGCCATGCAAACACAACTGCTTCACGGTAGAAACACTAATGGGACAAAGGTACCCAAGCAATCGACGTTTGTGCAAAGTCTCCCTCTGGTAATTAATCCAGGCCCTTAAGCAAATGGAAATAAATTCTTCGATAGAATCGTTGTTGTTAGCAAGTTCATGAGATAAAATTGTTATTGTAAACGAGTTCATGAGATAGAATCATTGTTGTTAGGGAGTCCATGAGATAGAATCGTTGTTGTTAGCGAGTCCATGAGATAGAATGAGATTTTATTCTATTTCATAGTCTCGGTGGCTATAACAATTCCATTGATAGATTCCTTTGTCACTCATCTAAGAGGTTTGAAATGATTTTGATTACGTTTTTGATCATTATTATTTTTTATATCGATACATTAATTACGTGTTATGACTAAAACCGCCATATTTCTTTGCGGAGAAAAATGCTACGTGTCGCGAAGTAGATCTGCTCATGTATGTAGACACATAATGCCACATTCTAAATTTGAATATAAATCTAATATATCTAAAAAAAATGTGTATTTCATTTGTTTTAAAATAACAAAAGTTTGGATTATTGATCAACGTAAATTCTATCACGAATGTAGTCTTTGTTATTTCATTCAAAATAAATAAACTATAAATGAATCAGTTATGAATGCTACATAATTGTATACAGGCATACTGAAATACATTTATTTGTCCACATTTAATATCTCCATAGAAAAAATGCTCTGATCAATATCAATAGACAATTATATGTTTATGAATATAATTATAATTGTATTGTACTGGCATTTAATATGTAACCACAGAAAGTTGAGTCATCCATTATATGGTTACACCAACTTAAAGACAGTTATTAAATATACATGAAGAAGACTTAGATTCTGAAATCGATTTCGAAGTTAAAGTGTTATTTATACTTAGGAACTTTGGAAGATCCACTTATATACTACCTAGGAGCTTATTTTTCCCTAAAAACTTTGGTGGAAATTGTGTCTACAGCGTCATTGTACTGTATACATCCATCAGTACTTTCTCTCAGTTTGAAGAATTTAATAATAAATATGTTAGTGAAAACTTAGGGATATAGTGATATATTTTTTATTTATTTAGATTGACTTTATTTAGAGAGTATCTTCATAGTTTTTTTCTTTTTATTTGAGAGACAGATACCAAAGATCAGATACCAGAGGGAGACTTTGTACAAAAGTCGATTGCTTGGGTACCTCTCTCCCATTCGTGTTTCTACCGTGAAGCAGTTGTGTTTGCATAGCTGTGTTTCGGTTTGAAGGGTGGGATATGGCGTAAATTTACAGGGTACAGAGGAATAACATCGGAGTCCTCAGGAATGGCAACGCATGGGGGTATAATGGGCTGTTTTGCCCATGGTATCATAGGCGTAACAGTTTACTCTGTTGTGTCCATAGTACCGCTCATGTTTATAGGCGACGGTTACCACTTTCCATCAGGTGGGCCGTCAGCTTGTTTGCCATTCTAAGTTGTATAAAAAAAAAGACAAATATTATAATATTTTACTGAAATAGTTATTACTTTGCATAAGTCATATCACTGGTTATTTGATTACACACATACTAATGGTAGCGGAATTAAACAAAATAATTGTTATCTAATAACCACAAATATTACTTGTCTCTAAGGTCCATAATCAACATATTAAGCTGACATATCACATGTTATAAAGTGGTAATCACGAACACACATAATACAATGTAACGCTAATGGTATGCCACGTGGTTAATGGTAAATTGTAACAATGGAACAACTGAGCTAACTCCATTTTCAACTATTATCCCTTACTGGCACCCCGCCAGAGTATACTAATAGCATAGGCGGGCTTACAATTTAATTATCTTCATGAAAATATTATTATTATTTATTTATTTATTTTATTTTACATAACAAAAAATGTGCAAGTGGCAGCTAAGCATTGGCTAAAAACAGAAAGCGTAAGAAGGGCAGTGATTGTAAAAAAGATATGACAATTATTGTAGCATACTCATATAATATTCATATAAGAAATGCACATAAATAAATTTTTTTTATTACTTTTTTTTATTATTTTTATTACTTATTAATAATCTAATAAGTAATATAATAATATTATAATTAACTGTCTATCTAAAAATATTTTTATGTACATGTGTCAGTGATGGAAGATGGTAACCGTCGCCTTTAAACATCATCATTGTCATCATATCAGCTCTTAACTACTGTTGAACGTTGATCTTCCCCACAAAGAGGGTTTTGCCAGTAATTGCCAGGCTTTCAATTTTGATTGACAACCACAGTTAGGTTTTGGTGATGTTTAATTAGAAACACTGCTGCCCATCTCTCGATCATTAAGTTCCCTTAGTCGTCTCTTACACCACCCACAGGTTAATAAAAGGTGGCTCATATTATACTAAGACGACGACAATGGACAGCCTATAGCCATAAACATCATAAATATATATATGCATACACTGCAAATCCCATAAGAATATTTATATATTGACTACTCTAGAAACTACGATTTTACGCTTATTATATATCCTTTGTATATTCAAGTATATTTATAATGCACAGTCAGCGTAATATTAAAAATAGTAATCCTGGACCGATAATTATTGAAACAAAGCAAAAAAAAAAGTAATAACTACCCTATCATTACGCAGCAGTTTCCGAAGAAAAGGCTGGCGCCCTAATGAACCGTTCTCTTATTCGCAGAAAAACTTTTCCATCGTACAATATAATTATTCGAACAAAATTCCGTTTCAATTTTGTTGTTGTTTCTTTTTAATTCTATAAAACTTTTATATCTGCTTAAAATGCAATAGCGATTACAGATAAAAGTAAAGAGTATTTCGTGTTATACAAAATGTAAATTGATAAAGTCCTAACTGGTAAGTGAAACAAATACTTTTAACTCCTACCAGAGGGAGACTTTGTACAAAAGTCGATTGCTTGGGTACCTCTGTCCCATTCGTGTTTCAACCGTGAAGCAGTTGTGTATGCATGGCTGTGTTTCGGTGTGAAAGGTGGGATATGGCGTGAATTTACTGGGTACAGAGGAATAACACCTGAGTCCTCAGGAATGGCAACGCATGGGGAGTATCATGGGCGAAACAGTATACTCTGTTATGTCTATGATACTGCTCATGTCTATAGGCACGGTTACCACTTTCCATCAGGTGGACCGTTAGCTTGTTTGCCATTCTAAGTTGTATAAAAAAATATATATATAAAATTCAAACAGTAAACAACTCATCATCGTTATCTCAGCCATTATTTGTCCATTGCTGGACATAGGCCTCCCCCATAGACTGCCATAAGGAACGGTCCTGAGCCACCTGCTTCTACTGACTTCCAACAATGCATTTGACATCCTTACTCCATCTAATAGGGGTTCATTGTTTTTTTTTATGCAACTTAGAATGGCAAATAAGCATCCTACACTGCATTTACCCACTCAAGAACCTTTCTTTTCCGTCGGTTGTCGATTCTTCGAGCTATAAATAATAAACAGCTGTTATATTTTATAATTAAAATTCTTTTAAATTAGTATACATATTTAACAAGAAACAATTTTAGATCCATATTACATTGCAAATAAACTTTTCAAATGTTTTCCTAACTCGTCTAAATTTTTTTATGCGGTTACGTCACTGACTTTGACCGATTTTCACTATTCTTTTTGCGATCGATAAGCATTACTATCGTGGTAATCTTATAAAAGTTTCGTATTATTATTTAATTTGTTTCTTTTGCAGAATAAATTTCTAATTGTTGTGAAGCTAATCTACTTACTACGTAAACAACATTCAAATTTCAAATAGACGTATTTTTAATTTAATGTCTCATCGTAAAATCTCGTCGTACTTTGGCGTATTATTACAATTAAATTCGTTGTTTTACACAAGAAACAGGTATTTGAAAAAAAAATGTAACAGGAAAATGTACTAAAACAATCAATATTTATGCAGTAAACAGAAATGTAAATTAATATTATCAGACCCACTTGAAATACTTGCAAGCTTTTACAGATATCAGTACACATCAAAGCGGATAGCTTTTTTAAGATTACAACGATAATTTGTGATCGGTGTAGGCAGATAGATTTGTAGGTGTCACCGAAATGCTTACCGTTTAACGTATTCAGTTGATATATTGGCAATAACTATATTATCTCTTTCAATCGGATTTCCTATGCTATGGTCAATTACAAAATAACGCTACTAATAGTAATAAAACTCACTTATTCATATAAACTATAACCTACAAACTTATTTTAACTAGTACATTGTTTTGTCACTTTCTTTTAAATTAAGAATTTAGCACCAAAGTAAAAGACAAAACAATTGGTACTACGTAAAAAATAATACAAAGAAATTATTGATATATTGCACTTATGAAGTACAAAAAGTGGTCTTATCGTTAAAGCAATCTCTTCTCTACCCTCTAACAAAAGATAGTCTAACATTAGGTAGATGAGAAAAGAAAAGTATGGATGTAAGGCAATTATTTATTTATTTGATTAACTAGGTGAGTTTTACTGTCATACTTTTTAACTAAGATAAATAAATAACTACACAACAATAATAAAAATAATACTTGTATTGTAAATATCTGAACATAAGCATTAAGTGGTCATTTGAAAGGAAAAAAACTCCACCAAGTTGGAGGCAAATACGTCTAATAATTATATAAATATTAATAAAAAAAAAAAATATAGATTAATATTTTGAAAGATAAATTGACATCAGATTACTCCGTACGTAGATACAGAATACTCTCCATTTACTGTAATAAATATTTATTATTCAAATAAACTTAACTTACTTAACAAGTAAGCATTTTTGAATGGTCATTTTTTTTTTATATTTCTATTGCCCGGTTTAGAATGCAATTCAGCTGAGAAGAAGTAAAAAATACAGATACTGATCATAATATTAACATCATATATCTTATGTTGTTACAAGGAATTTATTTGTCCATTTTTGACCTCTTAGTGTCTTATTAGCTCGATTGATTCTCATTAAAATTTATTAGGTGTATATTTTTTATCTTGATCAATCAATTTATTGAAATAATGCATACGAAATCGCAGGTATAAAATAGTATATAACAATAAAAGTACCTTTTACTCCGTAATACAGTACCGACTGCAATTATTAAAGCATACTGATGTATGAACCAATGAACTATGAGACATTTCTTACATTTAATTGCATAACATCTTACTCCTCAGGAATGGTAACGCATGAGGGATATCATGGGCAATACAGTATATTCTGTTATGTCTATGGTATGGTATATGTCTATAGGCAACGATTACCACTTTCCATCAGATGGGCCGTCAGCTTGTTTGCCATTCTAAGTTGGATAAAAAAATTATAATATTTTAATTTAAAACACTGAATCGAGTAACTGCATATTTTTGCTCCACAAAGAAAAATAACAACCCTATTTGTTACAAATTTAATACAGTACTAACAGAAAAATATTTATATATTTATTTACACTTTATTGCACCAATTATAAAAATAATAAATAAATATTATTTTAATGAGGAGCGTTCCAAAAGGCCTTATTGCTAAGCAATCTCCTCCAGACAGCCTTTGGATACCCTTTGTTTCTTTTTTTGTTTTGTTTTCTTTTTTTTCTCAATGTCGTAGAGGACAGAAAAAGACTAAGGGTAGGTAGCGCACTATTGAATTGATACTAATATATATAAACATATGTACATATAAATACTCACACATATAATATAAACAAATATCTACATAAACATACTTAATAAGACACAACAGGAGGGAATGAAAGAGGAAAATGACGAGGAAACACGGGAATAAAGTACTTAAAGCAAGAGACAGTATAACTTAACAATGTTTAAAATATCCTATTTATCTAATTTAGAAATAATTATTAAAATTACTTTGGAATTGGTTACGCAATTGCATAATAAAGACCAAACAATACAAAAAAAATTAAAACTTTATTTTTTTGTATTGTTTGTTATGGTAATACTCCATTTTGTACCTGTTTCATCATACCATACCATATCAGCCGTTAACTTTCCACTGCTGAACAATGGCCTACCCTACAAGAGGGTTCATCCTCGACCAATAAGTTACCTTAGTCGCCTCTTACGACACCCACGGGAAAGGAAGAATTCCTACACCCCTTAACCCATAACTTTAAAATGAACAAATTATTAACTGGTACCACACGGTATATTTTTGTTTCATTATATAGGATACTTTTTATATACATACATATCCATCACGCCTATCTTCCATTTGAGTGGGCAGATATAATGAAACACCAAATGCTCCGATTCAAACAGACCCCTTTCGCTTCCTCCACATTCATCAATCTATTCGTATACGCTAGTCGTTTACATGTACTTTTAATTTAGCTCTTCTTCAGCACGTCGCCTATTTGGTCGACATACTTACGTCTAAGGCGACCCCTATCGATAACTCTATTCATTTATGTACGATAAATCTCTTTCATAGTTCCTCTATCTTTCATCCTCTCCAAATAATATTTTTTAATATGAATTAAATTGTAATTACTATAAGAAAATATAGAAAAACTACTCTCGAAAAAAGTAAAAATCTGATAATTGTATATCTATTTTGAGAAATTCATCTTCAATATTACAGCAATTGAAAGAATTAATATGTCTACGTGTCAAGTCGAATGGCATGATTTTAAATTAAAATTTTATGCTCGAGGCTTGGACTGTAAGTAGGTTGAATACCGGGACATCAGTTCATTATAGACTTGGAACTAGCATTATATTGTTTGATATTTATATAAACTAGTTGATCTAGCAAACGTTGTTTTAACTCCTACCGCCATCTATCGCGTATGTACATGTTTTCTTATGGAAAGAATAACTATTGTATCTGAAGTAGAAGTAAATAATGTATATTTACAAAAATCTGTTAAGTTGTTTCGGAGATTATCGTGAATAAACTTCTTGACACAAAATTTTTGTATAATAAAATTATAAATCAAAAAAGGAATAAATATTTTTAATTCGACTCTATTTCTACATGTATATATATTTATGTTATTTATATGATAGTTATGCACCTAGTAGTTTAGGTTAATTATTGCTAAAATGAGTTTTATTTATTTATTTCATTTATATATAGAATAGAACAAGAATTAATCGAAAGTTACTTTTATATTTTAAATTATAAAATTCATAATGCGTTATAAACCTAAAAATTACATTATTTTTTTATTATTATTCGACTGCACTTAGTCTCCAGATCTAGAAAACATGAAAGAGCAAAAAACATAAACCTGCTCGTAAATTGAAGTTAAGGATTTTATTTTTATTACTGCTTACATGAAACATTCAACGTGTTAAAGTGTATGAAGTGTTGAGAATTAATCAATTAATGATATTTATACATATACATATAGAAAGGTTCTTGAGCGGCGACTGTGTACGGGCAAACGCAGTGTAGGACGACCCCCCACTAGCTGGAGTGACGACCTGAATGCATTGTAGGGAGTCAGTGGATACAGGGGGCTCAGGACAGTTCTTTATGTCTATGTGGGAGGCTTGTGTCCAGCAGTGGACGGATAATGGCTAAAATAATAATGACGATGATAGATATACATAGTAGAATAAATAGATGATCGTTACCGCATGCAAGAAATAAAACATGACAGCCAAGTTGGGCGTTTTATTTCAATTCGAATATAATTTATTTGTATGTATGTGTGTGTATTTTTCTATGTGGTATGCAATAACCATTGTCAATTCTGAGCCTGATTTTCATAATTATTTTCACAATCAATAGAACTTTACTCTCGGGTAGATTTTACCTGATAGGGGGAGATCTATATTCAGCAGTTAACCCTTCTTTGCATAATGGTGGAAATTTCCATCATAACACTGAATGCCCAAATTATATTTAAAAAAACAAGTTCACTTTAAGTTGATCGTGTCTGGATACCTTTTTAATGTCCATTGCAGAAAAAAAAAACAGCTGTCAAATTTCTTTTTATAACCATTTTTTCTTTAATTTTAAACATGAATTATATCACCTCGATTTATTTCACCAATAAAAAAAAACATGCAAAGAAGTGTTAATGATTGATATGATGATGATGGTATTGGTGTAACACTTCATTTGTCTTATTTTTTTTTAACTAACTTAGAATGGTAAACAAGCTGACGGCCCACCTGATTGAAAATGGTAACCGTCGCCTATAGACATGAGCAGTAGCATGGACAAAACAGAGTATACTGTTTCGCCCATGATACTCTCCCATGCGTTGCCATTCCTAAGGACTCAGGTGTTATTCCTTCAAACCGAAACGCACATCTCTCTCATCATTCTCACATCATTTGTTTAAATACTATATAATTTTTTTTTTTTATGAAAATAAATATTAAATTATAATTCTCATTTCATTTCCAGCATCATTATCCGATGTCGCACTACTCCTATTTCGGCAGCAGTGACAACTCCGACTTCAGTTCTGATTACGGGAACAGTTACGCTTATTCCTCCGGTGGCGGTTACGGCAAGGACTGGGCTTCGAATAGGGCGTATCATCCTAAACACAGACCTTCGCCAGCACCTATGTACATCACTGCGCCGGGAGCAGCTGCATAGTTTCGTCCATTAGGTTTATATACTACTAGTGACCCGCCCCGGCTTCGCACGGATGCACACTACATCTCATCACATTAGAAATCTCTAAAATTATCAGTATTTTATATTATACATATAAACCTTCCTCTTGAATCACTCTATTTATTAAAAAAAAAAAACCGCTTTAAAATCCGTAGCGTAGTTTTGAAGATTTAAGCATATATAGGGAAGGACAGATAGCGACAGCGACTTTATTTTATATTATGTATACTATTATTACTTTTTGTTCATCTAAAAATCATACATCTAGATGAAGTATTGAGTATAAAATAATGTCCCAAAAAAAGGTTAACCTGTTGACAAGTTCTACCGCCGTTTTTACATATAGGATGTTTAAATATTAAATCTATAATAAAAATCTATAATTTAATAAGATAATTTAATAAATTGTACAAAAAACTGGTTTTACAATATTGATAAAATAGTAAATTGATATTATATCAGTTAAAAGTCATCAG